TAAAGTATCATTAATATTGTGCAACAATTAGCGCATCACTAGTTCCGGTCATTTCTTTCGGTGAAAATGAGTTATTAATGCAAAAAGAAAAGGAGGAAAAGTCTCGGATCCGCAAAACGCAAGAATTCTTGACACAAGTACTGGGTTTCTCTGCGCCTATGTTTCACGGTTTGCATTAATTGTCATAAAAATTTACTCAAAATAATGATTATTTACATATTAAATGACATATGTTTAGGCCGAGGAGTGTTTCAGTATAACATGGGATACCTTCCCTTCCGAAAACCCATTACAACAGTGGGTCAGTATTTGTCACAACAAATCGTTTATATAATTTAGGTTTTATTTGAAACTCATTTAAACAATAATTAATCTATAATTAGTTGGAAAGCCAATTGATGTGATACAAGTGGATGAACCGACTGATGAGCAGATCTATGATCTTCACGACAAATACATCATAAGTTTACAAGAATTGTTTGAAGAGAATAATCCTAAATATGGAAACAAAGACTTAAAACTTGTCATAAAATGAGATTAAAGCCAATTATGACCTGAAATACGCCTATTAGGACTGAATAATTAGTACAAAATTGAATAATAATCTCATTTTCTAATAGACGTGTATATTATTATACCCTACTGTAATTCTAAATTATATCAAATTCATGACAATAATACTGAATACTCAATGATGTCTTTATAAAACTTTTTTATTATAAATAATTAAAAGAATGTCGTAATTAATGAATGACTTAATACCGCATCAATTGTCGCAACACTTGAATTGACTTCTTATTCAATAATTGTGTTACACTTTAGAGACCAATCACTTAACTACAGAATATTCTGTGATGGGGTNTGTGTTACACTTTAGAGACCAATCACTTAACTACAGAATATTCTGTGATGGGGTGTCTGTTAGCCACAAACCAAACACTTCTAACCAATTCATTGATTGTCTACAATTTAGTACATGAATTGGTTAAGAATTGAATACTATTTCACTATTTGAACTTATTTTATGCAATCATTTACTTTGTACTATAAATTTTTATTTTGCTACTATCGGTTAAAAGACCCGTTTTATCAGTTTATAAGTAGTTTATGTATAAATTATCCTGATTTCATTACAAAAATAATTCAATTTAAATGATGTGAAATTAAAATTTTATAGTTACCACTAATAAATATATTAATCTTATAAACAAACCTAAATGTTCATTGTTTATTTATTAGATATAAAATATAATTAATAGAACACTATAAGAATATACTGCAGAATAAATAATAATTTATTTTTTGTATGTATTAATTATTAATAATTATAAACTTTATACGGGATTATCAGTATATATAGGAGAGATTCTTCTACTGTAGAAACTAGATTGCAAGTTTAGTATATATTAACTAAAAGTGAGAAACTTGGATATAAATTCTGAATATAATAGTTAAGTTAGCTAATTGATTCTAATAAAAATATAATGTACTATAATTGGAATAAGCTAATTTTAACATATTGTACTGTACTATATTTGAATATAATTTACGATTTATAATTTAATTAAGTGTTAATTAAATAAATTTTGCGAATCTGTATTAATATTTTCCAATATTGATGAATGTTCAGTAAACAAACTATTAAATTAAAATGCTACCAACCAATATAAAGTGTGTCTATTACTAAAATAGCCATATTTTGACAGCTTTTGGGCTCATCCAACGAATTGGTGGCAATAAAGTACTGCTGAAGACATAGAAATCTTTCAATTTTATTGCTTGACAGTAAGCAATAAGAAAACTTTATTACACTCATTTTTAAAAGTTTTAAAAAACTTATTTTGAATATTACTTGATTTGAGACACTTTGTTGTAAAATAATAAGGAAATTATAAGAATGGAGTATATTATCTAAATAATACAATATAAATAAGTAATATTATATAGTAGATAACTTATATAGTATGATCTTCACTGTCTAATGTCTGCAAATTAGTATGAAAGACAATTCTCAAAGAGACAAACTTATAGCCAATAAAGAAGTACCAAAAAATGTCTTAAAATTATATGTCAACTGTTTTATTATAATAATGTTTCAATGTTAAACAAGTATTGTAGAAATAAGTGAAATCATTGTCGATTGTATTTTCTACTGTATTTAATAAATTGATTATCGGTATCTTAAACTATATAAACTATGAAAGTTGGATAAAATCACTTTAATTGTCAAATATTGTGATTAAATACAACAAGTGTTTGTGATTAGCGATAAATGGTATGAAAAGTGTGTTTATTGAAACAGGGTTTGACTGAATGTGACCCAAAAGTGAGGTTAAGTGACAATTCGGTGGATGTGGTGGTGAAAGGGGTGCGAAGGGGGTGTTGTATGAGATGTTCACAAATAGTGTACAGTTGTGTGCCTTAAGGCCACACCCAAAGCACAGCTCCAGCAGTGAGTGTTGAATGCATTGGGAGAGCAGTGCAGAGCGTATGCAGTGTTTGTGTCGTACAGTGTATTGAATGGTGTATTGAATGCTGTAC